TACAGCGGAACATCAGTGAGTATGTGTTACAATGGCGTTAGTTAGCAACCAGAAAATGACACCAGTAATGACAAACAGATGAGAATGCTGCGTGGGGTCTGGGTGTCGTGTTGGCGGGACGTTGCGGGGCTCGCTGCTCCGCCCTTTGAGGCTCGAGGAGCGGACAGTGTGAGCTGTATTACTGGTGTCGTTTCCTGGTTGCTGCGTGGGGTCTGCGAGACAGCGAGACACCGCGGAACTCAGCCTGAGCACACACACACACACACACACACGTGCGTGGGTTCCGCAGAGCCGCGGCTGAGAAAAGATAAGGCTGAGTGAGTGTGTGTGTGTGAGGAGCACACGTTACATCACTATGACCGTTACGTCAATATGACCGTTACGTCAATATGACCAGGAAGACAAAAATGGAAAAATAAAAATCTCCAATGAGGCGTTCTGGGGCAGCATAGACAGGTATTTTCTGTGTTAGAGTTTTACTCGCTACAGGGTGTACTTTGAGGGTTTGTGACTTTGCAGACCGTTTACATGCATAAAAAGCTACATAACACACAAGGGGACGGGTAATAACCGCATGTCATGGGACCTTTAACATCAACCTAAAAATAAATTGATTTAGACTGCTATGATAAAATGATGTAAATGTGATATTGAGACTGGCATGATTTTACCGTCTGCTTGGTTTTTCCCCCACATGCGTCATCAAAAGCAGATTCTTCTCCCGTTTGTTTTTTCAGTTTGCTCCACAGCCTCCTCCAGCCTCGCCCCAGAGATCCTAATGCATCATTTGAGGCTCACACAATTCACTGCGTCCCAAGCCGCTGGCTCCTACCCGCCTGATAGAGGCATTTAGAATCATGCACTGTGTGTCCGATCCCTTCCTCCTTAATATGTCCTTTATTACCATCAGGCATTTATGCCTGTTTTTTCTACTTCAGTGACCACTGAGCACCGGCTTCATTAAAACTAATTGAATCGGAAACATGTCTGCCTGAGGACACATTAACTCTTTCTATAAAGGAAATTTCCGATTTCATATTGTCAATAAGGTCAAAGGACTGAGCCGTGTGTTCAATACTGATACATGCTATACCCATAAAGCTCAACTGTAGGGCCCTTTAACTCAGGGTGTGCTATCTATCAGCACTGAATACATTCCAACTCTTGTGGTGTCTGGATATTTAATGATCATTTGCAAAAATCACTTTTTTCTCTAAATCTATAGTTTTCTGCAGAAACATTAAACCCCTTCTCTAACATATTGTCCTGTCAATTTCATTGCATTATTAATTTCTGTTGGTTAACATTATTGAGTCTTGGTACAAGCATTGCATTAACGGTTTTAAGTTGACCACACTTGAAACAATAATTTGATAGCATCAGTCAGAAATCAATGTGCAATAACAGAGCATACACAGCTGTTTAATATGAAGTAAATATTTATGAGTGATCTGACTAGGCATCAAGTCCAGTCAATCTTCTTTGAAAGGATCTGTGCAAATGATTAACCTCATTTTACTGGTGCTGTCTGGGCTGGTAATGGCCATTAGAGCTAAGAAGGAGTGAGGCCTTTGATTTTTGGCTCCTCATCATTCACAGCTTGTCGCATCCCTTCATCCTTCATACATGGCTGCTGAATTGATTGTCTGTTTAGTCCTATGAATGATAAAGCTGCTCTGGGCCACAGGCAGAGAGGGACAGACACGGCTCACTTCCATCTATATGCAAGGTGGATTTCTTTTCCTGCCTCGCCACTTGGAAATCAGCTTTTTGCATTATTTATTGGACAATCATCAGCATTTCAATATGGTAAATCAAATAGTCACAGTACTATAACTATAGGCAGTCGTATCCAAAGGGCCATTATTCAACTCATTATTCATTCATTTTGTTTAGAGCTATAGTCGGAAGGACTCATGAGATTCATAAGTTGTGTAATCAACATGTTTTACTGCGCGCTTGCACAGCAGCTTCCATGGACAGAGGGAAAGGTAACATGAAAGGAAGTGATTCTGAGTGTAGGCTGGATGAATGAAGAGTAGCAGAATTATTGAGAAGTGGTACATAACCAACGACTTCTGATGAGACAGGTGGAATATAACCTTGGTGGCGAATAGCAACATGAAAACCAGTGTGCTGACATACTGAAAAAGTCAGATGAGTGGTTTAAATCACTTTCATTTGACAGAAAGTCAAGTCATAAAGAGCATGTTATGGCATTTTAGTCATAAAGCCATAGAGGTGGATCTATTTCAAGGCTTGCTCACAAGTTTAACTAATTCTTCCCATCTCAAATTAACGTATAATGCCACTCTCAAAAAATCTAAAGAAAGCTAACACTTACTCTACTATATGCTTAACTCTGTCCAAGCCAGAGAAAGTTACATGTGGTCTCAGAAACTCATACAGTACTACACATACACGCATTCATGACTGCGTGTCATTTTGCACAAAGCTTTGTAGAATTTATATTTGTGAATCCTTTATCATGATTCTACCAACATGTGTTTCACTGACTGCGGCAAATCTAGTTCCAGTAGCAGTTAGAGCAACAGTGAGTTTTCCTCATTGTATGTCTGTCTAACAAGTTTGCATGTAGTGCAAGGGTGAAATGTCAAGTACTCCCCGACCACAGGGATCAGATGAGGCCAAAGTCTAGCTTATTTTAGCCTCCGAACATAGTTATTCACACATAAATCCTCCAGACTAAATTTAAACACCCGGCTAACAAGTGAACCTTTTCACAAAATGACATATTAGAGTGTAAAGAAAGTATATGTGTTGTTGTGGAATGGCTCCCGACATAACGAACCTATAGCTACATCACATTGAATGCACAGAGCACCACACGTGAACCTGTCAAATTGCATCACAGAATTAGAGGAAAGTGCAGCAATGTGCAGCTGTGCGTGCAACATAATCCAGGATCGTCACAGTGTGCACCGTGCCTGTGTGTGGTAGCATCTATTAGTGGTACTGTTAATGTGAAGCAGCGTTCTCACTAGCTGGGACTCAGTCTTGTTATTTCCCTCTCACTTTTTCTGAGTGCTTAGCAACAGGCTCTGTACTCTGGAAGATGCCCCCTTCACCTGCTGGATTTGGTTTGTTGTTTTCTGTCTGGCTACTGAGGACAAGAAAGAACAACTGGAGAAGGATTTCTTCTCTTTCTTCAAGCCATACTTGTACTGACACGATCATGTCTAACCATCCGCTGATGTCGAGTGCAGGGAGGGAATTCAGTCATAGGCTCTAAATGAATTTAGACTAAAAGTCCTCCAGCATATGCACAAACACTGACAGAAGTATTAGCTTGTGTCATGTTCTACTGTGTTGAAATAGACATGTTTAAAAACCACACTGTACTTTGACTCAATAGAGAGAACTTGTGACATTGTAATGCACCCTTTCAACAGATCTGCTAAATGTCAGCAAACTGGATCTGAATGTAATCCCAATTTGCCTTGGAATTAGCACTTTAAAGTGACGATCTAATTATTTTGACAATGTATTGCCTGCTGCTAATATCTCTCAAAATAAGCTGTTCCCTTCATCTTGATCATGTGATAAATGTGGAATCGCTGAGGATAAGTCCCAGACATGCCTCATAGCCTGGCGTCACTTCTCTCTGCTGATAGTCTAAAGGAAAGGCTTTGTGACAGCGCCACTGCTTCTGTTCGTGCAGGCCAGTCCATGCCGCTTTACATACATTTCTTAACGACTTTTAATTCGGCAGTTACACAAAACTAGACCCACATTTAATGCGCAGCAACATCACAAAAGTGGCCTGAATTGAGGGTGATCGGCTAACTTTTTTTGTGACCTAAATGAAATCAGAGCCTCGGAGCCGGAATCCCCGAGGGTTTTGGAGAGGTTGGTGCTACCAGGTTTACCATTAAACAAAAAAGACTTGGATACTTTGCCAGCTCCGGTAAAAAAAAAAGACTTTAAACACTTAAAAAGGTGTCCGTGTGTCGCATCATCTTATCTTTCGTGTTCACTTAAAGCAAAATTACCCAGCTGCTGTGACGCACAAAGTTGTGTTACCTGCATGTGCGCAACAGGATTTCACAATAAATGTGTTATTTCATTAACGCTGTGTAATAGCAGGATAAAGGTTGTCGTCCTTTTGATTGTGGAAAATATAGTTCTAGTTTTAGTTTTGGTCTGACTCGTCGGTGGGGTAAAACAACTCTAAAATGAAGGCTACATTATAAAAGTGAAGGCAAATTAAAAGCAAATAAAGTAATATACAAGGAAAGCCTGTCCAAAAATATATCCTTAAACTTTTTTTGCGTAGACTTTCGTACTTGCAGAGCGCAAAGGGAACAGACTGAATCATGGAATTCAATGTTCTTATAAAATGTGTTCGCTGAAAATGTTACTTTATTTAGGATTCAACCGAAAGATCAAGACGTCTATTTTTATTCCGTTGTAGGTTATTCATTTGTCAAATGCAATAAGACATTAGAGAATAAAACGAGGGTTTAACAGCATGTGATTTGTTTCTGAAAGCGTATTTAAATTGTAGTTATGCATGCAAGATACATTTTAAGGTATACCCCAAATTAGAAGTGCAATGTAATTTCGATGACTAAAATATTCGCTAAGATTATATTTAAATATAACGATTAGGAGGCTAAAATAATAAATATGTGACATTTTGGTCAAAACTAAAAAGGGAATATAAACTCAAGATGAAACATGCATGCAAACTATTTGCGACAAGATTTAACTTTTTTAACTTAAATACACAATTTTCACATTCAGTTCAAGTAAGGTGTTAACATAAATAACCTGTTAAACTGCTTATCGCAGCGCTGCTTACAACGAATATTACAAAAATACGCTTAAACTCCAAAACGAGTCTCTCTCTCTCCTGCTGAACAATCTCCTCCCGATCAGTGATTTCTTAATTTAAAGAATACGTTATTTGCAGAGAAAAATATTTAGCAAAGAATTGATTTAAAAGTTTTATTTGTAAACATTAAATATGTCTTTATCTCTAAAGTGTTTAATTCGTCACCAAATGCGTTACAGAAGTTGTAAGTACATCATGATGCCATAAATGTGGGCCTATATCACACACTCATGAACCTCTGGATATAAGATGAGAGCTTCTCATTTGCAAAGCGTGTTAAATCATAACCACCTAGACGGTTATAAGACATAAAACATAGACAACGTGCTCAGCTTGAACTTGGATGGTTTGAAATCGTTTAAATTGCACCATGCTTAGTGTAGCTCTTGGCAACAGAAATAATAAATATATAGAAACGTTTATATTCAACAGCAACAATACTTACAGCACATACAAACAAGGAATGTCTGACAGTTTTACAAACACCATGGGTCCCTCATTTTCTATACAGATGAAATATGTTTCCACATATGCGTCATACATAAAAGGAGTGCCATTACTACGAATCTGTATCAAATCTAGCAGACTACATAGTGTCCGGTATATATTATAGACATCACCTCAGCAAGTGCCTATAAAAAAAGAAAACTAGAACATGCGTTGTCTTTTCTGGATACTTTTTGGGATCCTGTCAGAAACACATAGGCACGAGTCAGAAAAGAAACTTAAATTGAATGTTTTCATTATAACAAACTTTGTACACGTTATAAACCGATGCATTGGAGGCATCACATATTCTATCATAATATACAGTGTGTTTGTGTGTATGAATATGAATGTATGTTCATATATATATAAATGCAATATATTACATATGAGTAAATCAGTTGAGCCGATGTTAAATAAATAAACAGTATAGGTGTAAAACCGGAATAACAATTTGTCCACCACAGAGAAATTCCGCGTCATGATTCATTCGTTTGACAATAACACAAATAAAAGGCCTACACAGCAATGACACTCTGTCTAATCCTCTTGTTATTATTTTTTTTTTTTCATGGATCCTTAATCATAATAGGGTATTTTGTTCTATTAGCCTGCTGAGCTTGCAAATATTCAGAAATAATAACGTTAAAAATCTGACTCACAAACAGTCTTTTGGAAGTTCTTTGAGGTCTCATAATCGAGTCAGACTCAGAAAGGTAGGGTGTCGAGGAAAAGTTTGTCAATTATTGCTGGCGGAGGGACTAGATCTTCTAGTTTTAGGTAAAAGATACGCTGCAGACCTTGGGTACATAGTGTGCGCAGTTCAGGGAGCTTTCCCAAGAGTTTTGACAAGTAGTTGGGACGATTCAATCCACCTCCATTGAACGTCACTTGGTCTTTTAGGCAGTTGACTATCTTGTTTTGGAGATCTTCGACTCTCTTGGGTTCCTTTAGCCCGTGTCGCTCTAAAATAAAGAAGAAGAAAAAAAAGGGACACGGTTACATTATTTTCGATGCTTTAACTGTTTCCGTTTTGCATGCATTGTATAACAGAGGCGGAGTTTCCAAAGGAGCAGCCGGCTTTACGCACCTGTTACCATGGCCAGAGCTGCGATGCAGGAAAAAGCTGAGATGTCTATGTTCATGCTCTGCAAGTTGGAAGAAAAGTCCACGATAGAATCCACCCACTCTCCAAATCCGCGGACGCACTGCAGCCTGTGTAACACCACTCCATTACAAAAAATAAGTTTGCCTTCCACTGGGTTGGACCTGCAATTAATAAGAAAATGCCATTAATTACGTTCTGCAATAAATGGGAATTTAAGAGCCATCTCATTATTGGGCAGCTAATAAAACCATAAGCAATGAAGCTTGAAGGAGGAGCTGATGATTATCTAAAACCAGGATTGTTTTGTTTAATAATTACGCGGCTTACCTGTACGCAAGCCGCAGGACAAAAAGTTCAAGGAAGGCGGATTCAAAGAGGAGATCTTGATCTTGCTTCGGTAGATCAGAAAAGCCGGGGATCTTCTCCGCCCAGCCCCGGATGATCTCCATGGAGCCCGTCAGGAGATCGTAGAACTGCTGGATGTGCTGAGTGTTGTCTCCAGTCATTTGGTAGTCAGGGTTAGCTTGGAACTGGAATTTAATTTAAACAGCGTCTTAATGAGGTCCTTTAAAATATATAATCCGTGAAATTGCAAATGCCCATTTCTAAGAGGGAGAGGGTGCTTTTTCACTATTAAATTCATGTCTTCTTTTTATTAAGTTCTCTATTTCAATGCAATTTACTTAGGAGAATATATGCCACGTTAAAAGCCTGACAGAGTTAGGGGTTCAGCGATGTATTACAGCAAACTTTAAAAGCAGTTAATTATTACCTAAAAGCAGGACTACATTTAAATCTGTCCAGCTCTTTTTTCACCCGGAGAATAGTTGTCAAGCTTTTTTTAAAAGGTGTGTGTGTTTTATTTCTGGGAGTGAGGAACTTCACTTACTCTGGAGTAGTCCAAAGCAGACATCGAGGGGTTGGAGTCCACATGGGCCCTAACAAGTGCGCTTATGAGGCTCACCGGCGGCGAAGTTGGGGAGGGCTCCTGTGGACTTTTGGGTTTGGAAGGTAGGCGTCCTCTCCGACCTTTGAGATTAGCCGTTCGGACAACTTAATTGGAAGAGAAAAAAATTACGTTAAAGTGATTAATTCGCACTTCTATGGTTGTGCGTAATTATACTTTAATGTATTTTAAATAACAATATAACACGATATTACGCGCATGTTTCCCAAGTGCATCAGTGGGGAAATATAAATAACTCTTCCAAAATAATTTAATGAATGGCCTAAACATACCTTCTTTCACCATTCCGACGACCATGCACTTCTGGAAACGGCAGAACTGGCAACGATTTCTCCGGCGTTTGTCAACAGGACAGTTTTTATTTGCTAAACACACGTATTTAGCATTTTTCTGAACGGTGCGCTGGAGAAAAAGAAAACATAATGTCAGTCTACAGGCCTTTTTCCACAGCTATATCACATGTAGAAAACGGACTGTGGATTGCTGAGCAAGTGATATAATATAAAAATGAAAAGATGGAAACGATATAATATCTGTCTCATCTCCTGTTTGGGACCGCGCTGCATGAACCAACAAGAGGGAATAGACCGACAGCAAATACACATTCGTGGTCTTTCATATTTCACCTATTCCTTTGAGATCAACTGTGTGGGTATAGATATGTTTTTCATATAAAGTTATTTTACGCACGCACTTTAAAGTTGGTGCTTGATCATATTTACAGTGGATCGCACTGAAAATGTTATTCCAATTATATTTGTAGGTTGTTTCATTCTGTTTTTAAAAAGTGAGCTTGTTATTAGGCCTACTCACTGGCGCCTTGTATAATTAGCAGCACACAGCACATCTTTTATGTAATAACAGTAACAATGATTCATGGTCGCTGTCATGTCACCCACCTTAAAAAATCCTTTGCAGCCCTCGCAGGTTCTCACTCCATAATGTTGGCAGGCTGCGTTGTCCCCACATACCGCACACAGACCCTCGTTTGACGGAGATCCTCGGGACGGGGGCGATGGCACTTGGCTGTCCATCAGCTGGTGCCCGTGGCCGAGCTGCAGGGAGTGAGGGAAAGCAAGACCAGCCTGTTTCCGGAGGGCGCTGGGCACCCCGAAGCTCTGACCGTCAAGGCCGCGGTGCACGCCCGAGTTGTCGTGGTTCATGGAGACGTGTAGCGGCCCGTCGAACCGCATCTGACAGCTGGAAACAGGAGTGCCAGGCGGGGACTGCTTGAAGGAGAAGAGCGAGAGCCTCGACACCGGATTCTTGCGCTGGTCCATCATGTGAGACGTGGCCGCGACATAGTTCTGGTGGAAACTTTGGAGGGAGCCAGGGTCCTCCCACATGTGATTATGCTGAACCTGGAAGTTTGGTGTACTCGGGGCATGGGGAGAGGATGGTTTGAAGTACATAGGCCCAGAGTGAGCCATCATTTCCTCCGACTGGGGGGGCAGGTGGCCCTGCTGATGGTAGCTGTGCATCTGGACGTCCTCCACCTTGATAGAGGACTGATCTCCAGAGTGGGGCATCTGATACAGACAGGGCGGTTTGACGTCGTAACTGGTGGTATAGTTGTCCATGAATGTACTGAAACTTGGGAGAGACGTAGTAGCTGTGATTTCAGTGTTGGTCAAGTCCATGCTAAACTTAACAAACTCGGGGGTTAAGAAGTCGCAGCTGTATTCTCCTGCGGGGTGGTAGCTGTAGCTCTGGGAAGCAGGACTAGCTCCTTGAGGTGATGATCCATACTGAGCCTGGACGCAGGGCATGGCTGCAAACCAAAACAGTAGAAACACATCAGAATTTCTCAAATCAGTGTTTAAACCGTGAAGAAAAAAGTTTAAAGTCTATTATATTTAGTCTCTTTTCATCTTAACCACAAAAATACAATTGTATAGTGATTTACTTTAGGAAGTCATTTCAGAATATAATGGACATTAAACAATAATACAGCTGTATTTGTAAATAATTGTCAATATCCTACCTCAAGTCTTCTGACAGTTTTTCGGTGACACTTGAAATGGGTACAGTCAGGAGTTGTATGGGTGTCAGGATTCAAGAAAGCGTATCTGTTCTGGATCTTCCCCTATAAAACACATCACCTTGACATTTACTGGAATGTAAAATACAACAAACACCTACAAATGAACACGAGATGCCAGATAAAGTCAGGTTTAACATTATGCGCACACATTGCAGTTTCAAACTACGCACATAAAATGTCATAAAAAACTTGAAATGTATACTGACAAAATACGTTAATTTTGAAACTAAACCGTATAAATCGTATTTTTCTTTTCTTCATGTAAAGTGTGCGGTGTTACATGATATACAAACCAACTTCGCGCACACGAGTGAAAACTTGTAAAGAAAAACCATCTCGGGAAATATCAGCAACACCCAGAGATGTGCACAGTCAGACTGAGTTTCTGTATTTTAATTTAACAGTGAAAAAATGACTAAAAAGGCTTAAAAGATTCAGAGAAGGCAGTGAAAGTAAAGCGCAGACACAGATTATGTTGCAAATAAAGAGATTAATTCATTCTTACCTTTTTCACATCAGGATTGTTGCTTTCAATCCATGCGATAAGCATGCAGGGGGTATTCATCAATTTCTGTAAAAGCTCCAAATCATGAGCAGCGCTACCCAACAATGCCAGGCGGACAAACCGTGTGACTCCGAGCACTGACAGCGACACAAGCTTCGACTACCCAGTCTGGCCAATGTGGCTTTGTTTATGTGAGCTCTGGATACGGTGGTTTACCCACGTGTTTCACAGCGCGACGTCATCCGCGTCGACATCGACATGGACCAATCCGCTGGGGAACTCTCTCAAGCCCCAATTTTTCTGGCGAGGATGTTTGTCTTGTGGTATGTGTTCTATGTTGCTTCCCACATGGACATTAGCAGAGAGTGGAGGGTACCCTTCTGTATTCAGACATACATTGTGTTTGCAGAGGAGTTAAGTCACGCTTGTTTTAAGCTGACATTAATCTATGTACTATGGTTTTATGTCTTTATCAAATGTCTGCAAAGTAAATTAGTCAGTTTATGATGAGCAAGTTTCTGAACATATGAAAACGTTTCAGTGTGTATGTAATTCTTCATTACATCAACACACATGACTTATATTGTTTGTAAGGGGAGACAATTCATTTAATATCACACTTGTTACAATAAAGATACACTTCTAAGTTGCAGCAGGCCAAAATGTAAAAGTGCATTTTTATATCCAATTATTAAATCAGATTACTGTCAGAAAAATCCCTACTTACTTGAGTTTATTCACTGCCTGATAGTGGAAAATTGAGATGAGTGTACATTGGCACATCTAGGCAAAGTTATGTCACAATGTGGCTGATATGCCAGACTCACTACACTTGTATGAAATCGGCCTAATGAAGCGAGGGTCAATATTATTCTTCGTTATCTTCTGACAGGATTTCTGTATTTCAATTGTGTTCCCAATTTAGACCTGGGATGGGGTGGGGTTTGTGGGGTGGGCTGCCTATTCATAGTGCTGGTATAGTGCATGTGAGCTGCTGAGGAGGAAGGGGGGGATAATTAGTGGGCCTGTAGCCAGTTGTCATGGGGGAACCAATTTGGTCCCCAGAGAGGGAAACGTGATAGGAGCTGGCAGAATGGAGAGTGACGCAGAAAAACGCTCAAGTTGACGCAGTGGCCAAAATAATCTTTTGGCTTTATTGTTCTGCAGCGATGGAATAACTGATCTCAGTACAATCTTACACCAACACCTTGTTGCCAATCAAGCTGGCCTACATTTTCTACATGCATATTGGCCTGGGCAGAAAGCTAAGGTGGGTGTAACAAGATGTGTACAAATGTGTGTAACAGTAGCCAGCGTCAAACAGCACGCAGCATCGTGTGTTATTTCTATAGTGGATTGATCTTCATTATATGAGCCACAGAACAACATCAGTCTGAGAGCAGTTTTTGGTGTGCCCGGTGCTCACTCAGTGCACACAAGGACAGAGTCTGCAAGGAGGGGGAGGAGAGGGGGAGATCATTGTATATCATGGTTACACTCACCTCTAGAGGACACTATTGTTCACCAGCCATACATCAACCAGCTCCTGTTTCTTACAATTAACCTTTTAATTAACCTAACCCCATTAAGGCTGTGTGGTCACGCCCAGTCATTTTCAGGTGGGCTACTGTATATGGCAGAATTTGTAAATAAAAAATGCTCCACACTGCACTGTGAATATTATAAATAATGGAGTTAAAGTTCAGTTTTTTTTTTGCCTTCTTGATTATAGTTGCTACTAAGTAGCTGGTAGCTGGTGGACAGCAAAGAGTCACCACCTTTTTCTACTTTGATAACACAACACCTTTCACTGTGTGTTGGAATCTACAGACCACACAATCATACAGTATGTCCTAAACATATTCAGATTGTGTCTGAAAGCATGTCAGGATACAACATGGTCACACTGGGCCTCTGTTATCCATTTGCCATTTAGAAATTGGAATGAAAACACAATTAGCAGTTTAATTGGCCATTTTACTGAAGAACGATTAACTTCCCATTTATGTGCACAATTAATTGACAGTTATTCGTACGTGAAGAGTTAGTTTTAATCGCACAGAAGATATTTCCTGAGACTATATTTTTAACTTTGTTTAAAGGAATGTCTACTGACATTACTCATTTTAGTGTGGGCGCTATGTGTGCGTGTGTGGGTGTCAGAGAGAAAGAGAGAGAGAGAGACATCTTTTTTCACTGGCTTCAAACCGTCACAACTTTATTATTCGTTTTACTGCAGGTACAAACCAAAATTGCAGGAAATTGACTTTATTAGTGGATATGACGCTGTCGTCACGTTGAGTTCATGGATCCCATTTACAGTCAGATCCGCGGCTGCCCGAAAGGTCGCCCTGGGGTGACAGCAGCCAAGTGAGCAGTGATCACCATTTGATACGCTGAACAGGCTGTTTATCATGAAAAAACGACTTTCTTATTTGGCTCTGCGCCCTACTTGCAAAACTAAAAACGTTTTTAAGTCCAGCTTACGCAAGCACTTGCACGTCACTTTGCAATCAGTCCACCGTTCAGAAACCATTTAATTCCTCTTACATTTAATGTGAATTAAAAGGGATCTGACCATGATACGATATATCAGAGTATTTATCTCACACAGATCATGTGACTGCCTGTGAGTGGCAGCAGATGTAGCTCAGCTTCATTCAATCGATTCCAATAATAAAGTAAAAGGAAAGTAGTAGAAGTGGTAGAATGGAAACTACTCCTAAGACTAACAGTAGGCATACTACATTTTATTACGGTGTGGGTGTGAGCATGCAGAATGTTTTCTATCAGAATTATTAAGGTATGTACGTGACGAGGTGGAATGGAACAAAGCATACTTTCTCATAACATTTTAAGGTAGTAATTCTGCTACACTTCCATTGTGCATTTCATGTACATTCTTTGTTGTTTTTTCCGTATTTTGGGGGTAGTAGGACGTTATTTTTACTGCAAGTTTAATCTAAGGTACTTTCTTCATATGCCTTTGTTTAACTGTTTGCATGTTTTGCATTACATATCTCACCTGTTGTAGACTATTAGAGGAGTATTTCTCCTTTAGGTGTAGAGGAGCAGATGTTAAACAATGTGGAAATCTTGTGAAACACCATAACCTTAAAATGATATAATGTACATTAAGCACATCACTTAACAAAAATATAATTGAGAAAATTAGAAGTTGGGTTTTACTAATGAGCTTTCCACTTCTTTTAATTTCATAACCACTGATTGACCCACTTACTGCTTAAAATCAGTTAGCCCTGAAACTGGTATAACAGGAGGGAGTTTCTCCACTCACTTACACACTCTTAAATTGAAGCCCAGGTAGTTTGCGAAATCTGCTGGTCGCTCACACAAACCTCATTTCATTTCTGAGCACCAGCAGGTATCAAACTTTCTGAGAATTGAACAGCCCGACCCTGAAGGCATCTCTTTGCTCGGTGTCTTCTTTCCATTTCTAGAATCCCACTTTACAAGCTTAAATGTCTACTTAATATGCTTTAATGCCTGCTCTTTAGAGCCAGGGAGCACTTCATCACTTTTATACACCTTTATATAACACACTGTTAACTAGCAATGCCTTATGGAACAGCTTGTCTTGCAGCTGGAAGGCGCCTCCATGGCATGATGGAGGTACCTGTTCACCATTCACAATGAGACAGTAAAATGGGAATAGAGGCCTCTGCATACTGCTGCTGTCTATATCAGTCAACGATGAATATTCATGAATCACAGTGTCATGACATGCTCTGTAATTGGCAGCAACATTAGTAATGACACTGCTGGTATCAAGTCCCTGCATATTCATGTGGTGGGGCAATATTTCCTCGTGGTGCTGTTTTTTTCTTCTTCTTCTTCCCCTGAAAGTGAAAATGTATTCTGAAGCTGCAGGTGTCCCTGGTGCCACAATCAATTGCTGGTTGGATTGTGCCCCAGTGAAAATCAGACAAACCATTAGTTACTTTGTCAATCTCTTTGATTAATAATATATCTGAATTATAAAAGGTTGAGAGGACTCTAAATAGTGTAAACCGAATCTCTTTGAAATAGTTATGAATGCAGACTCCTACCATGTCCTTGCCACTGGCTATTTGGCATTAAAAAGAACACTGGTAAATTGAACACTTTGGCCTAAAAAGCACGCCAAGATTATTGAATTATACTGGTTACATGAGAAATGTGCTTCTGCTCTCTAATGACGCTACAAACAGTTTATCTCT